CACTACATCTCCTATATCTCCTTAACTCAGCTTCGTGAGATTCTATTCGAAAAATTTTAAATGCATTGAAATTTTTCTTTCAAAAGTTGTTATTGTATTTATGAATAATAGCAAGCGCAGCAAGGCGGCGCGAAGCGCCGCTCGCGTAGCGAGCATGTACGAACGGAGGAAATTCGGGTTGAAATCTGCACATTGTTCCAAAAAATTTTTATCGAACCACGTGAAAAAAATTCCAAACTCCCACTAATCCTTTGCGGTGCATAGCAACAAGGTGGCTAAAACATATAGCAACAACTTACTTGAAAAAATTTCAAACAACAAGTTAATTCAATCTCCATGCCACAAAACTATCGTTTGCGTTCTAAGTCAGGATGACTTTTATTTGACGTCATACTTTCGTCACTTAAACGGCTTGAGTATTTCCCATTTCGTCGGCAACTTCCGAGAAGTTCGGAATCTCGATCCCGATGCCTGGAAAGTGATTTCTTTTTATTCTTTTCACCTTGTTTTTAATGAACTGAGGATAGGCAGTGCAAGTAATTTTTGATAGTAAATAACTGCGCTCGCCCCAACGGTCGCACCGTATAACATATTATGATTGCCTTTAAGATAGAACAGAATAAAAAAAATATATATATTCTCTACTCTTTGTGTAGTGCGGCAGCTTTCGGATTTTGGATTGCCGGATGTTTTATTGCCTACTGATCTTGAGTATTGCAGTAAATGTATAACCTCATAAATGAATTATTATCCCTAAATATGCTCGATTTTTTATGTGTAAAACAGGTTCACATAATATATTTTTGATAATCTTATTGTAATACGCGAGGTTCGAGATTGTAACTCTCCTGATAAAGGCGCAAAAAGTATCCGTTTCAACATGGAGCTGGGACAGGTTGTTTCTGTATACAAACGTGTATGAATAAATGAACGATATTTATGGCTTTTATAATTTATTAAATGTTATAGAAAGATAATGATGTTAAGCAGCGATGCATTTGATGATTTTATCTAGCTCAACTAGGCATATTTACAAATCTACTTTCAGTTATAGGATACTTGAAACGGAAAAAAAAGCGTCGTAGTCTTTATAAAAAGTAACAGATTTCCTTGTTTGTAAAACATTTTCTAATAAAAAATTGATGTTTTTTAAAAAGTTTTAATATAGGATTAAACGTTCTTTTTGAATAATTTATCGATGTGTAAACTCTTGACATTTTACTCACAAACTAAATAAAAGTGCGAAGCACTTTTATGTTAAGTTTGTGAGTAAAATGTCAAGAGTTTACACATCGATAAATTTTTCAAAAAGAACGTTTAATTCTTATAATTCCAATATCGAATTTTTAAAAATATTTAAATTATTTCTCTTTGAGGCCTCCATACAATCCGTTATTTCTGGACGGCGTAGGAATACATTTTACCGTAAAGGAACGTAATCGAGATGAATTTCGATAGAGTTCAACTTAAATTGTCAAAACAATCGATAAATAAACTTATAACAACTAATCGAATGTTGTTTAAGTCAACAAATATCGTAATTACGAGTTTACTTCAGAATAGTTCGTCTTTGACCATGGCCATGTTGACATAAACAACAACTCTCATAGCGAAAGTTGTAGACCGACGACGCCTTCAATTTGCACTTGTTTATTCAAATATTGAAGAACAATATAGAAAGTAAATATGAATTTGATGCTAATAGGGCAAGAGTTTGAGGTACGTTTCTTTTCCCTGTCAAAACGATACAGACTGAGCTTATTTTCTACGTATGAACGTTGAGACAGCGATTTTTAAAATTCACACTCGTGATCGGACAGTGACATAAACATTTTCACGGCGTCCATCAGTTAGGCAGTCTAGTATGTTGCCAGTTTTGTTTAAGCCCTAATTAAATTTAAAGTTTCTTGTATTCATTATTTAGCCAGAACAGACCCAGAAATAACTGCTTTCATTGTTTATACGATAACCTAGTAGTGTCATCAAGAAAGTAGTTCTGATTGAAAGAATTTATCGATGTGTAAAAATTTTCTGGAACGTGTTCTCGTCCAATCAAAACACAGGAAATCAATAGATAAAATGAAGATTGGAATTATTAGCATGTACAAAACAGATTCACGTGATATATTTTGATAATCTTATTGTAATCATCTTCGCTAGCCAAGGGTTTCCGATCCGATACCTACTCTACAACCCTTGGCAGATTTAGACCTATCAAACGGGAACTTTGATTGCGCCGCCTATCGCCGTAATTGAGTTAAGTCCCTTGAAGCTCTTTAATATTTGTCCAATGAAAATAGCTGTAACATACGTAGATCAATATGACGTTTGAAACAATATGGCGACCTCCATGTAATTTGATGTGGAATATATCCAAACAACTTCATGGAGCTGTGGGCAGTGGGCACACCTCAAAAGTGGTAGAAAATATCGTTCTTCGTGGATTTTCAGTCAAGAGTTTGACACCACTTTCTACTTGTTGCCGAATCAATTATTATCAATGAGCCGTGACATTTGATTGGCTTAAATTGATGCACCTAAAATGCGGAACACGGACATATGTGGTCCTTTCAATAATTCTTGAAAACATATATAATTAAAAGAAAAAAAATTCAAATTAATTAATCCCTTGTTTTTTAAGCATATATCACGTCCTAACTTTCATCCCTTGTAAATATTACTCTTATTTTGCATAAAACACGAACAGACTTTAATTCAGCCGAAAATCGTCGATTAGTAAAAACCTTGCGTAGACTCGGACTTCGCATCCAATCAAATTCGTTTGCGCGAGTTCTAAAAATTTCAGCCAAATCTGCCAAGGGTTGTAGAGTAGGTATCGGATCGGAAACCCTTGGCTAGCGAAGATGATTGTAATACGTACGCGAGTTTCGAGATTGTAACTCTCCTTCGATAGAGGCGCAAAAAGTATCCGTTTCAGCATAGAGGTGGGACAGGTTGTTTTTGTATACAAACATGCATGAATAAATGAACGATATTTATGGCTTTTAGAATTTATTAAATGTTATAGAAAGATAATGATGTAAAGCAGTGATGCATTTGATGATTATATAGCTCAACTATGCATTTTACAAATCTACTTTCAGTAAGAGGGTACTTGAAACGAAAAAAACGTCATAGTCTTTATAAAAAGTAACCGATTTCCTTGTATGTAAAAACACTTTCTAAAAAAAGAATTTTTTTTTAAGTTTTAATAGCGAGCGCAGCGCGCTCAATAGACTGACGAATACGATTGGAGGAAATTCTTGAAAGGTTGAAAATCTGCACATTGTTCCAAGAAATTTTTATCGTACCACGTGAAAAAATTCCAAACTCTCAATAATTCTTTGCAGTGCATAGCAACATGGTGGCTAAATCATAGCAACAACTTACTAGAAAAAAATACAAACAACGATTTAATGCAGCATGTCCATGCCACAAAACTATCGTTTGCGTTCTAAGTCAACAGGACTTTTTATTTGACGTCATACTTTCGTCACTTTAACGGCTCGGGTATTTCCGATTTTGTCGGAAACTTCCGAAAAGTTTGGAATCTCGATCCCGATGCCTGGGAAGTGATTTCCTTTTATTCTTTTCTTTTTTTAATGAACTTAGGATAAGCAGTGCAAGTTAAAGATGTCTAAATGTTTTTGATAGTAAATAACTGCGCTCGCCCCAATGGTCGCACCGTAGAACATATTAAGGAAAAAAAATCAATATGTCATTTAGATTGCCGATGATTAATGATCAGATGAGATATGTACCGTATTTATGAGAGGTCCATATCTCTTCCCTCGTCTCAAATCCACTGATATTTCTTTTTTTGTTACGAATTTTTGCTTTAAAAATGATACCTTTATATTAATTCGGTTATTCTCGAGTTGTTGAGTGCATCCTGACAATCATGTAGTGATGACAAACCAGTATATCGATGATGCAATGTATCCATTATACAAGTTTATCTTTTTAAAAAAATAGGTGAGCTAGCGCCGCAGCAATTTTTAAACACAGAAAGAAGGATCCGTGATCAAGTAATTTATTTTGCTGAATTCTTTAATTTTTATTGAGGATGGAGAGTGATAAAGTTATTATTGTTTTGTGAAACGTATTTTATAGATACATAGGTAAAGAAATGGGGGGGGGGGGTGACCTATTGGAGTTTTGGCGCAACGGAAGATATTTGACCTTCACTGGAGAGGGGGGAGACTCTATATGTAATATGAAGAAGATGCCGATTGAGACATTGCATGTATGAGCTGATTTAAAGAATAGAATTTCTTGGCAATGTAGCAAAGAAAATACAGGGGAGTTGAAAGGAATATAGGAAATAACTGAAAGTGTATATGTTGTATAAAGAATCCAGAGTTTGGAACGCATGTGATTCAAGTAACTTGGTCCTTTGGGTCATCTTTGTCAAGAAATGTTAGGTTAGAATTTTTTAAACACAAATAATGGATTTATTTGTTATTTTTAGTGTAAATTCTTGCTTCTGGAATTTGTAAGGTTGGCTAAATTGACCAATCAGAAATTAGAATCTATCTTTGGTTGTGCTTTGACGTAAAAGAAAACCCTCCCTTGTCATTGTTTAGAACAATCAGATAATGACTCGGGCTTTTCCCTCAGCAAAAAAACCCGAAATTTGAAATATTACAAATATGAAGTTATCTTTAAAGTGTAAGCTACACAATAAATAATGCTACAACATAATACAACGAAATTGTTATCGTACGGTCTATCTATAGTAGTTTTCAGTTTTCGCAGAATGCATATCCATGAAGCCGAGCATGCGTTTTCAAGGAATTTGGACTAACGTAGTTGCTAGCGCTCGAGAGCGCTAGCAATAAATATCTGTCCCACCTGTCTGTTTACACGGCAACAAAACTCCTCGTCTCAACGAAAGAGCTCACCGAGTAGGATAATCTCTAAATTTGCATATATATGTGTAACTGATACATCTCTAAGTTCAGTTTTTGGGGTTTTTTTAAAAATGGTTCATTACTTACCTTTTAAGCAACAAAACTTTTCGTCGGGACAAAGGTGTTTTACTGGTTGGGTGGGAAAATTGCAATCACTGCTATCAGAGACACACTGCCCATTTTGTGGAGTACATTTATCATTAGCGGACACTAAAAACGGGATTCAAAGATTTCAGTTTTACATTTACAATTTGTGAGTAACGTAAAACCTGTGATTTTTATTCACAAAAAGTCATTTAAATCCATCACTTCGTTTAAACATTATTCTTTTCTCGTATAAAAGAGTCTTTTGACGTTTTAAGATTCATGGCAAACAAAACAAAAACAAGAAATGAGAAAATACTCTAAAATATGGAGGGAATATTTTTAATTCGTTTCATCAACCGGGTCATCATCAAGAGAAATGATATACAGGTATTAATAGAGTACATAGTAATCTATACTTAAATTCACAGAGGAATAAAACCAATAATAGCTGTACTTACCAGAAGCTGCACACGAGAGCAGAAGCGTGAAAACCAGGACTAGAGGACCAGACATCTTTATTCTGCGATGCTCCTAAATAGGCTAGATTTACGAATCCTTCACCCTTTATATAAGTATAAATGCGTTAGTGTATGATAATTAATTCAGTTTTAATCAGATGAGATCTAAATCTGATATATGATTGGCATATTTTTACAAGTTCCTCCCATTACTTTATGAATTATGATTTCCTTTGCGCTGTTCATTTGAGTTTTTTGTGGTGCACTCTCAAAGTAAATCATGCGAAACAGGGGATTGGGGTTTGCTCTTTCTGAAGGTTTTCTAGAATTGTTCACACAGTACAGAGAAGGTGAAATCTTTTATGCTTTCTAGAATTGAGTAGGCAATACAGGGGAGGGGGTATGCTTTTTTCTAGATGACATCTAAATCTCTATAATTGACCACAGACTGTTATCTCCATGAAAAACAATTATACTGTGTGGTTTCACATAAAACACGGACCCTTAGAAATTCAAAAAACTGGATCAGATGGGAGGAGTTTGAATATGAGTTAAATAAGAAAGGAACAAGTTATTCCGCTGCTCATACACTTTAGTTCTTAGATGTTATTATTTTCTTTATATGAATGCAAATATTAAACGATTCCGTGGTGTCTCTTTAACCGACTTGTTTCAATTTTTCTTTGAAGCAGAAATCAAAACACGAGTAGAACAAAATAATTGCCTTGATTTTCAACTACTAGTATATATTCAGATAGGTTGACGATATTTGTCATGTAACAATAGTCATTTTCATTCATATTTTGACTTGATATATAAACCAATGAAGTTGAAATAAAAGACACTTACAAAGAATCCCATATCTATTTTATGTTTAGATGTTTTACGGTAACCAGACGACAAAAGCCAACATATCAATAGTATAAAATTAAGATGTTTTCAGGTGTACCTTTTCTCGAATTCCCTTATTCACGTAGAAATATTCTCCTAACACATGTATATGATGTTTGAAAACTTATTCACTATTCAAAAGTGTGCTCTGAATGGGATTAATTTTTAAACCGAAGCAGGCTACTTTCACAAAAGGTTATGTTACAGTTATTTCAACAATCAACTTTAAAGTCAGCATGAAATATATGAAGATAACGAACAGCATTCAAAATCAAAAGTCCATAAAACAATACAAAATAGGAGCAGAGCAAAGACGGACCTCCAAAACATTAGGTGTCATGGAAGAGTGATCATCCCCTACCGATCGGTCACACCAAAGGTGTGTTCCTTGTCATGATCGGAAAATAACGGGAAAATTCCTCGTCAGTTCAGTGTATAATAATGCACTAACAATTAGTACAAGAAACGTCAGTCAGCATGTAACTCAATGATAAATTGTATTTGCTGACAAGGTCATTGTACCGACCATAGAATTTACGAAATGATGACTTTAAACAAGACTGCTGATATTCTTGTTTCATCAACTTGTTTGTCAGTAAAAAAAATACCTCGTTTTAAAAATTATTCGTACGTAGAGCATGGTCTTGCATATCAAATCGACTCTGATATATAAACTCAGTATGCAGGTGATGAAGGTATATTGCTGCATAAGTAAGGGATGTTGACGATAGAAAAGTTAAATTCATCAAGTTTATCATAAAGCTTTGTTGTTAGATAACCATTAACGTATTTTTCAAGTAAAATATCCAAGTATGAAACAGATGTGTCAGACTCTATGGTATCTTTTATCTCAAGCTCACCTGGATATATATCATATCGACATAAGAATGGAAATTACCACTGTGAACTGACAATACGTCGTCGAATTATCTAAATTTGGAGTTGAAGGCCACAGTAAGTATTTCTTAAATTCTATGGTGGTTATAATGACCTTGTTTGCAAATATAGTTATAACTGAGTCACATTTTGGCTGCTATGTTTCATATCAATTTTTAAGGCTTTGTATTTGTACAAAATTTGACTACTTTGATCCCACCTCAAGAATTCCAAGGGGTTCGTGTTTATGCCCCTTTGGAATATCTGGGGTTTTGTAGCTATTATGAGATCGATCACTTTCTGTTATCTTTACTCGTTTTCAAGAAATTAATTGCAGAGGTAACAAGCAGTTATCAAGCACAAAACCTAGACACAATACAAATCGTAAGCAGCTGGATCCATGGTCCTATTAAAAAAATAAGAGATCAGGTGCCATGGCGGAGTATGCATCCTAAATCGAGCGGACACCTTTCCTATGCTTTTTGTCATAATCGTAAAAAGGGGAAAATGCGTTCCCAATTCAGTTTGACAATAAATGCATGACAAAGAAGAGATGTTTACTCTTCTATGGTACCTGATTTTATCTCTGATGTTTTAGAGGTCCGTATTTGCTTTTATCTAAACTTTCTATTGAATAATGGACATTTTAGCTTGAATACAGTTTGTTATCTCCATATATTTCATAAAAAACAGAAGTCATCATTTGTCTTCGTGATAGATTATATTTGCTAACAAGGTCATCGTGCAGATCATAGCACTTTTGAAATGATTACTTTTACTAGACCGTTGATATTCTTGTATCATCAAAGTGTTTGTTAACAGCTTGCTTCATTTTTGAAATATCAAGTTCAAAGATAACAAGATCAGCAAGATACTATGGGAATTTACAAAATGCATTTTTCTAAGCACTACACAAACCAGAAATTTTATTCCTATCTTTAAAAGTCATAAGGTATGACAGACGGATGGATGGACATACAGACAGACAGACACACGCCTGTCAATCAAAGTGATTCCTAGAAGTAGTACATGTACTGTTTTGTAGACAAAAATTTTACAACGCATTTACAGGATTATTTTGGAAATATGACACAGAAACATTCAGATTAATACAGTTAGGTTTTCAGTTCAATGATCTGTTTAATTCTTCAGTAAAAAATGTTTCAGATTATGTTTATCTTCACTAGTTTCAAACCCGATTGAGATATATTTCTTTGATTAGGTTACAAAATATTCACTCATTTGAAGTGTGTCATTTTAGTATCTAACGTTTTTATCAGATTTGCTTACTTTATTTCACTAAGCGACGTCCAGTATTCCTGTACTTAATGCTTAATAAATTTTGTGACCTTTTAATGATAATTACTTTTATATAAATTTCAAAATATCCTTCTCAGGTATAAGTTTGTAACGCGTTAAATAAAGATTTTTAAATGATTTTGTCATTTTTTTTTTTTACAATTCCTTGAAGTATAAAGTTTCATAAAATTGCAAGTTTTTATTGCAATCATGCAGTTTCAGAGAGCAATTGACTTTTCAAAAGGATGCTTTACTCAATTTTTAAATCTTTTTTATACGACACAAAAATCATTATTTTCTCAAAAAGAAAAATATATGACTTTGACTCGCTGTGCCTCTTTAAAATAATTGTAACATGAAGACTGATCCTGATTTCCATATAACAAAAGTTAAAGACGAAAAAAAAAATAGCTTTTAAAAAAGTATTCATTGTTTTTTATTATTATTTATTATTATTGTTACATGTGTATTATTCTTTTGATTCCATTTGAAAACGCTATGCAGTGAATCACTGAGAAAACGAATGGTAATCAAGCTCAAACATTCTCAAAAAATCAAATAGGAAGCAGAGCAAACACGGACCTTCGAAAACATCAGAGGCGGGATCAGGTACAATGGAGGAGTAAGTATTCCCTGCCGACAGGTCACATCCTCTGTCTGTCCCTTGTCATGATCAGAAAAATGGAAAAATTCCGTAGACAGATATATATGATACATTACATTTGTTAATAAGGTCAACAGGATGAAAAAAGAAAAGATCATTAACTTTTAACGAGATCGTTGCTATCCTTGTTCCATCCTGTTTGTCAAAAGCTTAGTTTGCGTAAGAATATTTCATGAAACATATGGAGATAACGAACAGTATTCAATATCAAAAGTCCATAAATAATACATTACAGGAGTAGAGCAAACACGGACCTCTAAAACATCAGAGGTGGGATCAGGTGCCATGGAGGAGCAAGCATCCCCTGCTGATCGGTCACATCAAAGATGTGCTCCTTGTCATGAGCGGAAAATATTGGGAAAATCCCTCGTCAATTCAGTGTATAAATAATGTACTTACAATTATTATGGAAAACGTCAGTCAGCATGTAACTCAATGATAAACTGTGTTTGATGACAAGGTCATGGTATCGACCATAGAACTTACGAAGTGATGACTTTAAACGAGTCTGCTGATATTCTTGTTTCATCAACTTGTTTGTTAATAATTTACCTTGTTTTAGAAATTATTCATAAGTATAGCATGCTCTTGCGTATCGAATCAAATGAGATATATATACCCCGTAGAAGATGAAGGTAAATTGCTGCATAAGTAAGGGAAGTTGACGATAGAAAAGTTAAATTCCTAGCGTTTATCATAGACTTTGGTTGCTAGATAACCATTAATGTCTTTTTTAAGAAAAATATCCAAGTTTGAAACAGATGTGTCAGACTCTGTGGTATCTTTTATCTTAAGCTTCCCAGGATATATCATATCGCCATACGAATGGAAATTACTATTGTTAATTCACAGTACGTCGTCTATATATCTAAATGTCGAGTTGAAGGCCACAGGAAGTTGTTTTTTTTCTTTTCACGCATAAGATTTTACACAAATTCTGCTTCATATGAATACAAAAATAGGTCTGCAAATAACGGTGCGCAATTGGTTTCCATTGATGTCAACTTCAGAGTGCATGTGTATGCAATCAGAAGGTGTTTTAACAAAATGATTTTGCATATGACCATTGACCAGGTAAGTAAACTTACGAGTTCCGTTTTTATTGAAAAGCAGCTGTCAATGATAACAAAAAGCCTAGACTTTAATCTATCGTGGGAAATGGTTCTGTATCAAGTTGAAAAATCGAAAGTTTTGAAGCTGTTGATTTTGATGAAATCTTGTGATTTTAAATTGTCCAAAAGTTCTTTGGAATTTTTGAGTATCCACATCTGATTTACACCACTTCTTGAATATATTGTTACACAGTACTCTTGGAGTTTCTCCTTCACTACTGTTAATATCTTAGTGAGGAGTAGAGAAAGAGGCTTGGTTGAACATTTACTGGAACTCGCAATGTATCTTTGCTTGAAAGGATTCTAATGAAGCTTTGGAATCCAATATATATATGGTGGTTCAAAATCATTGTGGTTCTTTGGAATATTAAAAATATTCAAAACTGACATGTGATTTTAAAGAATTTTCTTCCTTAGAAGGGAACTATGAGTATAAGTTGGATAACCACTTGTAGAATTAAATCCAAGTTCTTCTAAAATGCAAATTACATATAATGAGTCTTACAAACAAAGACAATGATTTTCCTGCTTTTTCAGCAGGGACCAATATGTACTGATCATGTAATCTATCTAGTTCTTTTTCCACTTCTGGATTATTAAATACAGAAGGATAGATGGTTTTCATATTGCCCCTCAATCTTTTAATACGCGATTTCAACATGGGTCTGATACATTTAATCCAATCTGACAAAGTTTCAATGTCTTCTTTTTCATATCTGGACCACTGTCTGGCGTAATCTTCAACGGAATCCATAATATTTATGAAAGTTCGACGCCAGTTGAAGGATACTTCATGCATTCCCTTGTGTATCGAATGAGTTGGAAGATATAAACTCTATATGCAGGTAATAAGGGTCATTTGCTATATAAGTAAGGAAATTTGACGGTAGAAAAGTCAAAATCATCACGCAGATCATGAAGCTTTGTTGATGTTTTTGGTTTACGTTTATTGTCTTTTCTAATAAAATATCTAGAAATGGAACAGAACTAGAAGTTTAAAAACGAAACAATGATTCATTTAAAAAAACAATACAATCGTAGAACTGGGGATAAAACGCGGACTCCCGCAAATTCCAAATTTGGAATCAGATTCCTGGTAGAAGTAACCTTCTATAAACTTTACAACATTTACTATAGTAATTAAAGAAATTCTTTGTGTCGTTGTATCGATTACAGTAAATAATAAGTCTATATGTAGGTCATAACAATATTAGTTCTTTTGGAACACATCTATTTATGTTAATTGCATTTCTTTATTTTCGACTTTTTCCTATTTCTCAATAAAGATAAACATCCTTATAGCCTGACGATTCAGTACCTTTTTAAACAACGACATGAAAGGAGCATAGAATGAAACTTTCAAATAATTGAGATTCACAAGCACTGTTATCAGATAGGTCCTCTTTATATAGCAGCAGATCTGTAGCTAGACGGTATAGAAAAAACTGAAGACCTACACCACCTTCGCACAAAAAGTTGCGCTCCACAAATTCTTAGTGCTGGATTAGTTTTTTCCAAATCCTAACTTCTCCTACACAAAAGCTCGCGTAATAAAAAAAAAAAGACGTTTGTAAACTACTCTTGTTGTTGACATCTAGATCTGCACGAAGCGCGTTGGTCATCAAAAAAGACAGTAGGCGAAATTTTCTATAGTCTCAATTTCAGGAGCGGAAAGGGGGGGGGGTAATATCAACGATTATAAGAAATGTTTTGTTGTGTGAAATAGTTGAAGAATATATAAGGAATAAATAGTTGGTAATACTTTGAGATGGCAGTTTGATAAACACGAAGAAATATATCGAGAAACAGCGCACCTTTGTGTGCGCAATATACATTTTTTTCATCGGTTGTCACTGTAGCTCTCCAGTCTGTTAATTTTTTCGGCGAGCTACAGTTTTGCAGCTACCCTATATAAAGCCTACCTGGTGTGAGGATTCTTTAAAGAACCAAAAAGTGCAACTTATGATGATCTACTAAAAATGGTAAGGGATTGTTGTAGATGGACAAAGATGTAGATTCTTACTTGGGATATAAAACAGACGATAATGTAATATAAATCAGATAACTCATAAGTGCTCATTTTTTGCTAAAATCATCCAAAATTCCCTGATTAAATGTTAAATGAGATACAATCAATCCATTTCTAGAGCTTTTTTTTTTTACTCGTGATCTTATCGCCATCTCGATTCGTTCGCTCTGCTTCATTTGTTTTATTTACAATAACTCCTATTTAGTTCTTTTTTTACTTTTTTATTCTCTTGGAGTTCAGATGAAGAACACAGTCATGATTATGGCATCTGATGGAATCCTGGAATTTTACAACACGTGTCACTTCCACATTGGTAGGGACTGTAGCCTTTATTTCGATATTTTGAACGTTTATGGCCATCACATTTGCCTAAAATTAAAAAAAAATCATGTCAATTATTCACTTCATAAAAAAAATCTTCAAAAAATCTCAAGTCGCGTGTTTAAGATAGCTTTCTTTTGAATAAATCCTATCTCTCTGATTGCCCGAGATCTATCATTCCAGAATGAAACATATGAAGATAACTTATGATTTTTTTTTACTTGAATTTTATCATCAAATGTGAAGATGAACTTAAAACTTTTAGAATTTTATACTAATATCTCAGAGCTGTGTAAGAAGACAGCAAGACATATATATCGTATCATAATAACGCATAGTAATATCTGGAGTACATGTAAGTTTGTACATACATCACAGAGGTGGCGGCACCAAAGAGGGCGTAGTCCCCAAACCTTTTAGTTGGTTTAGCCCCGCGAAGCGGATTATAAAAGAAGCGTAAACTGACCCAAACCAGATTATACTCGATAATTTGGTCAAGAATTAGAGTCATTTCTCATAATTTAATTTTAGAAGAATTAAACAACTTGTGTTGATTTTTATGAGTTTTCAAATTTACAGCGCAATAATACAACCGTAGTAACGGAATTGTGTTAATATCTAGCAGCCATTTTTGTTTACATGAGTAAGATCAAGTAACTGTTTGAAGTCAAAGATACATTTATTAAATCTGGAATTTTCCATGGATTCCGAGGACAAATGAGGGAATTGCATAATTTAAGCTGGTCGTCAAGGGGGGGGGGTCCTCACACCAAACCAGATTATACAAAATAATTTGCGTTCCTATTTGGAAATCAAGCAATGAGAAGAGAGGATACAACCAAAATTAAATTATTTAAAGTTAAAAATATATGAAAGGGCTCAAAAGGACGGCGAAGTTGACTATTTAAATTTATATCATTTAAACTCCGAATCGTGAAACTTCTTTCGAGGTCAATACGATGATTTCTGCACCCTAGGAGTGCATTATTCACTGAAGCAAAATGTTTCGTTATAAAATGAAGTACTTTTTTCAATGCTTCTTATAAAGTTCCCGGTTATCTTTTAGAAATAAACAAATCTTTTTCATATCTGGTTGTTTTACTTGAAAAAGACATGGTAATTTCAGACCAAGCTTTTTGATAAACTTGATGACTTTAACTTTTCTATCGTCAAGTTCCTTTACTTATGCAGCAATATACCTTCATCCCCTGCATACAGGGTTTATATCTCTCACTTGATTTGATACGCAAGAACATTCTCTACGTATGTACAATTTCTAAAACGAAGTGAATTATTGACAAACAAGTTTACTAAACAAGAATATCAGCAGTCTCGTTTAAAGACATCATTTCGTGCTACAGTCGATACAATGACCTTTTCAGCAAAAACAATTTATCATTTGAGTCAAAAACTGACTGACGTTTTTCATACTAATTGTTAGGCCATTATTTACACACTGAATTGACGACTGACTTTTTTCCTTTCTTTCCAAAACATGACAAGGAGCACAAGGCGGGTGTGACCGGTCGGCTGGAGATGCTTACTCCTCCATGGCACCTGATCCCACCTCTGATGTTTTGGAGGTCCGTCTCTCATCTGCTCCTATTTTGTATTGTTTAATGGACCTTTGGGCTTGGATACTGTTCTTTATCTCCATATGTTTCATACAGGTGTCATTTTAGTCTTTAAATGATTAACCAAGCATAGCAACTCAAATATCTAACATTTTTTTTCTATCACGAATAGTACTAATCTACTTTGTGTTTTACAATTTCCAATTTCTTCCTACTCAATAATCAATTACTCGTACGTACGTGGTATGCAACATTCTATTTTGTTGTATCCACACAATCCAACCACTTTTTTCCCTCTGCATGTTTCCCCTGTTTCTAGGCATTTCCCGCCTTTTGCTGTACAAGGAGCAGCAGCATCTAAACAATATCAAGTACTGTAAATCACTTTTTATTCGCGAGAACTTTATTTTGGCGTAATTAAGCGAGACAGTGTGCTCGCGAAAATTTAATTCTCGCGTATAATAGCATTCCTTAAGATTATATAGAGCAATAACCACAGTTCCTGAAAATTTTGTCTCGCTAATCAAGAGTCAATGACTATCTCGCGAAAAAAAGGTGTCGCGAAAATTTAGTGATCTACAGTATACGAATAATATGGATGACAATAAAAAAGAAGAAAAATTAGCATGACAAAAGTCAAAATTCTCTCTTGAAATTTCACAAATTTGGATAATAAAAGATAAAATATAAAACAGGAATAAAATCATGATATTTCCTGTAAAGAACAGGGACTTACTTGGTAAGCAACATCGCCTAGATGATCCACCCCCACAGAGAAACTTGACGTAAGAACGGCCGCATTTCTCAGTGATCTCCTGGCAGATGCCCCCTTGTTGTGTACACTTGGCATCCTCATCTATAGAACAGAAAATTAAACTGTGGATGATAACCACTTAACGATGCTTAAATACGTTTATGTTTGAAACATAATTCTCTATTCCGTAGCAAACAAAAAAATCTAAAAGGAAAATCATTCAATTATTCCACTGCAACTCTAAAAAAATAATAGTGAAACAAAACCTTTGTGACATTTTCCTTGACCATAAATTTGATGTCATTTGTCATAATTGATTTAAAAAAATGCATTTGCTCTGACATAAAAAAGTGGAAACCTCTACCGTTTAATTCGCTTAGCTACTATTTAGCTTACATAGCTACTCTACAGCTCACAAAGCAACTATAGCTCACATAGCTGTGTTTAGCTTACATAGCTACGGTACAGATCAAATACATATAGCTACTGTGTTACTCACAAAACCACACTGTACCATGCAGCTAACATAGCTACACTGTACTGTATAGCACACATTAAAGCTACTGTGCTGCTCACATTATATTAGTGCAACATGTTTTGCATTTAACACTTAGCTACAAATGGTTTGCATTATCAGTAACGTACATGTTTGATACTGAGTGTGTGTTTACATCAATAGTTTATAAGTACTAGCGATGCATCATTTTAATGAGTTCACGTTAGTAACAAAAACTACTACAGAATCTTGACCTCAAAATTGATCGTTCCTTTGAATTTAACGTTACTTTTTCGACCAAGTTCAGGAGTAAACTTTTTTAATCAGATCCTATAGCATGGATCCATTACGTACCAAGTAAACAGCATTTCTTCTGGCCGTTACAGAGGTTTTTCACTGGTTGTTTAGGAAAGTCGCAATTTCTGACCGATGGAACACAATTCCCTCCTTGCTCAGTGCATTTCCTGTTGGCTAATAAAAATGTTCAGGGATTTGAATACCATTTTCCATAAATCATAATGAAAGAGTGAATAAAAAGAATGAAAGTTATCACACATATTGATACATAAGTTCTATAAGTAGCACATAATATAATGTTTTGCTTCATGATTGTGACGTCACAATGTGAAAATGACGTTAGTATTTAGTGGTTGACATAGTCATACTCGAGAAACAAACGGCTGGAAATTCATTTGCAGTAGCTTATAATAATCTATACAAGGTTAATAAAGCCAAAAGACTTTCCAGAAGTTCAATCAATAATTAATTGGATTGATTGTTTTAGTGAAGGAATGGAGATCTTTAATAATGATGTTTGTTCTGTTGCCCAATTAAAGCAAGCTGGGTAAAATATGTGTTAAAAGGTGAGCAATGAAAGAACGCTGGTGTAACTAGAAAAATAGTTGATATCTTTACAATAACAATTACTTTAATCTTAAAACATCGTTTACTTTAGACTTTAAACATATCGAATATGATTAAAAGAAGGCGCCCATCTTACAGTGTACATGTATATCCATATTGGATAAACGACGTTCCTGAGACAGAGGATTCGGATTGTAATGATCATCATGCTCTTTCTAAGATAGGATATCCTAATTCACCCATCCTATTTCCAATATAGGCCCAAGTCCATTTCTGACAAATGGACCGTTATAAATAAATAGCTTGCATGGTAAGAAATACAAGACTCGGAAGAATATTTTAGCCTCAGATTTCGGTGAACAGAATGTTCATGAGCATATCATGTGAACGCCTGGATCACTTGATTTGCGCATGGAAAAAAATGTAGAATATGTGAATTTAAATCAGAGTTGACTACTTTAAAAGATAATGAAGGCTTAACCTAATTGTTATTGTTGAAAAATATTTAATTAGTTGGCGACCTTTTTTAATCACTCTTCGTATTAAAATTATATATTGTATGAGCCTGAAATATCAATATCAGCCAAAAGGCCCAGGGTCGAGGGCTGATAACAGATGTTACGTGGAAAGGAAGTATGCTTTCTCTTGTTCAAAAAATTGGTCATATGTACGAGGGACTTTCAATAAATAATATCATTAGCTCGATGACATACAACATAGAAATCATATGACATTAAGCTTGACTTTCTCCAATTATTGAATCTTTTATGAATTGATAACAGTTTATGTGACCACTTTCCATCGCATTACTTTATTGTGGGAAGATGCAATTATTCCGTAACGTATGATGAAACGATTCCTTATGGAGTTTTTACATGGAGATTTGACCAAGGTAAGTTAATGTCGTATTTGTATGTTTTAAACGCAAAATATCCCTGATTCTATAAGCCGTTGCATTATAGGAATGACACAGGCATCTGTTGACATAACGGACAATGTCTAGTGGTGCGCCGATTTCTTAAACACTTTGCACTTATTCACAGAACTTTTTTCCCAATCAAGTTACAAAATCAGCTACAAGTTAACAATAATGAAAATTCGTTGTTTTTCCATTTCATTCTAGAATTTTGATGAAAATATTAATTAAATCGCTTTAAAAATGGGTTTTTAGAAGTAACGTATGATGCAACAATTCTAATCATCAGTAACGTGCGATGCAACTATTCTTGAACAATCGTATTATTAGACCAATATGTTGGATTTCTTTACTAGTACACGTTTCAAAGTAGGGTTATAAAATTACTCATTGCTTTCATTTTATCACAGAATACCAAATGGTTTAAGAAAAAACAAAACTTGACTATAAAAACGGCTAAAAGAAATAAAAGTATTGAAAGTACTGAAAGCAGAGCTAAATTGCTCGAGTTTAGTGTCTGATCCCAAATTAGTACATATTTATTTTTTTTCCTTTTGACCATTGATTTTTAACAGGTAGAGTTTGTATGATTATGATTTAAAACTATTTCGTTTACCCAGACCTAAACCCAGTCTAGTCCAGACCTCAATGTTTTGATTTTAAGATTTATTTCCAAGAAATTCTCGCATATTTTCAGTTCAATGCGCATTTTTTCTGATATTTTAAAAATTCAATCTTGGATTTGTTAAAATATTGCAGATGTGTATTTTCTAGACATTCTTTTAGTTTCAAACAAACAGTAATTTTATCGCCAACTACATGTAGAACACTGATACATGTACATTGTCATGCGACTCCGCGCATGCTAATTCTAAAAATTCCAATTCACTACCCTATTAATTTGCTTTAAATCAAAACAGAATATAACCACAAACATAACGTAGACGAAAACGACATGAAACGAAACTCTTTCAACATTTCAAGAAGCTGGCGCTATTGAAAATAATTCGCTTACAATAGGCATTCAGCAGCGTATGCGCACAAATTATTATTATATCACGATTATCCCAATAAAGCATTGTCATTTCATCCCCTTACCCAACTCCGAAAAGACATAGGCGTCATAACTGGGGGGGGGGGGGGGGGGGGCTTAGCCCCCCTTTTTTTCCAAATATATACTTAGTGCAGATATTGAACATTGTTTCGAAGGTTTAGCCCCCCATTTTCAACAGACACGTCGCGGTATAGGTTTAAGTGGTGGTGTTTGGAAAAAGAATTTGGTACTGAAGTTCGAAGCTACCCCCCCCCCCTCCTCTACGAAATAGGATATTCGTCTTAGAAAAATGTACATTATCTTCTCTTTTTTTTTTGCTTGTGGGGTTTTTTTTTTAGAAGGTTCAGAATTTTTTTTTACACTTAACCCCCCCCCCCCCCCCCACTTTCAATTTGCTTCCGACGCCAATGAAAGGAGAAAATTTTCTACCCCATTTATATCCAAAAAACGACTTGTATCAACGACTTGTTGATACCCCAAACAGAAACACTGCAAAAAGTCCCCAGTGTGCATTATTAGAGAATGATTGGACATTGAGTGAAGGTTATGGTCATAAAGAAATCCAACATATTAGTCTAATAATACGATTGTTTAAAGAACAGTTGCATCGCACGTTACTGATGATGGGAATCGTTGCATCATATGTTACTTCTAAAAACCCATTTTTAAAGCGATTAAATAAATATTTTATTTATAATTCTAGAGTGAAATGGAAAACAACGAATTTTCATTATGGTAAACTTGTAGCTGATCTCGTAACTTGATTGGGAAAAAAGTTCTACGAATAAATCGAACTTTTAAGCCTCTTTTTTATGAAAGTGCAAAGTGTTTAAGAAAACGGTGCCTTTTTGGACATTGTCCGTTATGTCAACAGATGCCTGTGTCTTTCCTATAATGCAACGGCTAACACAATTAGGGCTATTTTGCGTTTAAGGCATACAAATGCAACATTAACTTACCTTGGTCAAATCTCCATGTAAAAACTCCATAAGGAATCGTTTCATCATACGTTACAGAATAATTGCATCATAGTAACGCTATGGCAAGGTGAGATCGGAATCAAGGGCTATTCAATCGAGACACTGCATTAACAATGAACGGTCAAGAATCAGTAACCAACAGTAAAATTAAACGCTTCATTAAAGCAGCTGACAACTTGTTAATATCCCAAAAATACATTAACTGAAAGATGTGACATTTACAGCAACTGGTGTCTGTTTTATACACACATGAACAGGTGGATTTCAATAAACAAAATATATATAATGGGCATCAAAAAAGGGTACCGTCCTATGCAACAAGGACATACAACAGCCAATGTATATTTCTGAAAATTCAACAAATTATCGCTGATGATGTTTTATTGACTTTAAGTCACATAGCAAAATTGAAAGACATCATTTTGGGGGTAGTTCACTCTGTTTTAAAGAAACATTTGATAGTAAAAGTTTAATACCCAAAGGTCACCCTATGTTTTGATAAAATGAGTGAAAACGACAGCGTGTAGGAATATCTAAACTTTTTTTTTTAAATCAAAAATGGTACTTATCCACGTTTGTCTGAAATTCAAACAGATAATGAAACTTGAATCCATTTTGCTTTAAACCCTCAAAACAAATTTATGATAAGATGCACTTGACAAAACTGCAAAGGCCTAAGAAGAGCTAAGAATTGCAAGAGCACATAAACAGTTTTATATGCTATTTCCTTAAATATTAGTGGTCTTGTTGTTTAAATTCATTTTGGGGGAGGAATTCAATTTCTGGAGGTGTATAGAATACATTTTTTTGCAAATAAATTGAAAGGTTTATGAGAGCAAGGAAACATAATGAGAAATTCATTACTACATTAAATTTCTTCATGACAGCATCCAATCCCACAGGCCATGAAGGGTAAAGGAATTTTGGGGATAAACAGAAAGTTAATGTTTTGTCACACCAACAAAATTCGCCAGGTATTTCAACCTTTGACTTGTATTATTTCTCAAACTTAGAAAAACATCTATCAGAAAGACAAAAACAAGTACAGCAAATCATAGGATCTGCTATATTCCAGTATACGAATGGTCATACTCAAAAATGCTTTCTAAAAACAATTAGAAATTGCATAAAAATGTTACTTACATGTGTTTTAATTGAAAGAAAATATATTAGTTACATCATTTAGACTAAATCATAGAAAAGCGTTATCTGTTTCTTTCCGAACCCCGATGACATTATTTATTGAACGTCCTTCGTAGAGCAAGCTCATGTGCAAATCAATTAAGAGACTCACCGGTAAACCCCCTGTGCAGGTTATAAGGGTATATTGCTAAGTAAGGTAAGTTTTAAACAGGTTGGGGGGAAACGTAAATTCCGCTATAATAGTGGTATCTCACTATTATAGTAAAATTACGCTATATTTTCTGCCGTGGATACCCTCAATTTCATCCGATACCATGCAAGGCGTTTGAACCGCAAGTCATGGTGGGTATTAAAATGAACAAAAACTGTCATGCTTCAATGTTTTGAATTTTAATAAATTTTCTACCGTTGCGTTCAATAATGCGAGCACTCTTTTTTAACGGAAGTTGCATTTTTAACATAGCAACCGATGATTGCGGGGATATTTAAGCCTGTTTGAATCTCACTTATTGCTCATTATTGTGCTCAAAATGATGCTTGTTACAATTGTCAACTTGCACTGAAAAGAGTTTATGGAATTTAACAAGAAAAAGATTATTTTTGTCTGCATTGGTACGGGTATGGAGGCTCGTTATGGTAAACGGAAAGGCCCATTATTATCCGACGCTACCACGGCCGATATTTTTGTGCATGGTTGTGTTATATAGTGAACATGGGAACTTAGAAGTTATTTTTGTAATAGTTCAGTATAATAATTCATTGATAACATGTAGAAAATTAGAGGTTATTGAATAATTTCATCTTCATGTGAATAAAAAAATTAGTCTGCAAAATAGAGGCGCAGTTGGTGTCTTTGAAAATTCTAACAAAGTGCTCAAAGAGCTTACCCCCAAAACAACAATTATATTGTCAATTAGAAACTCAAGCTTCGTTTTAATGTTAGTATTAACTTCAGAGCACTTGTGTGTACTGTTAAAATGTTTAAATAAAACAATTTTATAACAGTCAATTGAAAATAGTTTATTTTTAATCAATAATGCAAATTGTAACGTTAGATTTTTTTGTGTAGGCAATTTATTTAATATTTTAGTCCGCTTAAAAATATTCCTTGTGCCGAACTACCTTACGCAAACTCTGAAGCATTATCAGTTTTTTAACATTGTGTTTTCATAGCAAAGACATTCAGAACTTCTGAAACTTGTACAAACAAGTAATACTAGACAGTATAATCGTTCAATAATTTTGCATTATCATGAAATATTTTGAAATTAAATCAAATAAAGGATAAATTATATTCCCTGTGTAAAAAATAATAAAGTTTTATTAAACAATAAATACATACCAACGACTGAGCCTGAACAAAGAAGCAGAAGCATGGCACCAAGGATGTAAAAGTTGGACATCTTTACTGTTCAGAGTATTTACTGTTCAGAAATCCCCAAACCGATACAACAACAAGATTTCCTCGCCTTATATAGGCGGCAGGCACGTCAAAACATGTGCATTTTTACAGTAGTTAGGTTTTTTACTGCAATAAATGTGATCTGATATCTTACTAACACTTTTTTTATTGTTTTCAAAAGAAACTTCATAGATTAAGATAGTCTACATGAATAATACCATCCCCTCATTTCCATTTCAAGTTTTCTATGCTTGGCGTCCGTCTGCATCTTTGTTTTTGACAACCAAGGTAGGGTGTGGGTTTTGGGTACGAAAAGTTATTTTAACAAATGTTTACTTCCTGCAACATATATATGTAAATTCTGCCAAATTCAAACAATGGTTGTCTTTTGTGATTTTGCTGTGACTTTGAAGGAAGGGGTTTATATGTTGAAATTTAGTTTAGCCGAGTGCTTTCATATTCATTTGAAGCAGAATCCATTCAAATCTTTTGCATGAAAAGGCAAAAACACTTTTCTGTGATTTTCAGCTTATCATTCAGATTTTTCAGACACGTATACACCTGTTTCATATTTGGATATTTTACTAGAAAAGGAGACCTTAGATAAACGAGATGACTTCAGCTTTTCTAGCGCTAGTCTTCCTTCTTTATGTAGCAGTATTCCCTTTTCACCTGCACATGGGTTTTAGTTTCACAGCTGATTCGATACGCAAGCTCTGTGTACAACCATTTCTTTTTTTTAAAAGACGAAACTAAAAGAAAACATTACCCCAAAAAATGCAAGCCGAAACATCCAAGCGATTTAACGTTAAATTTTAGAGCATGGATCGAATATGTACTTTTTTAAGATTTGCAAAATTCAAAAATGACCAATTTTTAGTTCCAATGATTTCAATATAACTTGGCACACAAGTAGACTACACTAACATACATAATTCTGTATATCCGTTTTTGATTTCGATGAACAGTGTTGTCTTGGTTACTATATAAAAATAGAAATTTCTGTGAAATACTTTCAAAATGATACCACAAATACAGTTTTAGTCTGATTATAATATAATTTGGCATGCAAGTAGACTATACTAAGATACGTAATTATCAGGGTTTTTTTGTTTTTTTTTTTTTTGAATTTGATGACTGATGTTGCCATGGTAACTAAACTTGAAAATTGTGTAAAATTTTATTAAAAGCTACTCCTACAGCAATCTTGCTACAAAAAGAGACTTAATCAAGGATCATTATTCTATTTATTGCTTTTGTAAAGTTTTAAGTCCCAACTGCTACTTTTCTCTTCCTTTATTTTAAGTACAAACCAGTAGAGCTACAGTCTCGACAAATACTTTATTTTTATAAGTAAAAATTTGTTTCTCTAATCGAACATTATTGTGTTTTAAGTAAGTAGCTATGACATATCATCTCATTATAAATTATACTGCATTAGACAAAAACAATATCTGGATATTATATTGTATGAAACATGAGCTTATTTCCAAAATTCATCAAGTTTTAGGTTCAAATATATCACATTTTACAGTTGGTGCTAGCCAAAAAACACTTTCTGCTTATATATACCAAGCACAGGTCAAAACTTGCAACCTATCACCAGCAAGTCGTCTTGTTCCAATATGAATGAAATATTTGTGAAGGGACGTAAAGCATACAAGCACAACTCACATAAAATTGAATACATATTCAGAAAGAGTACCAAGAACAAACAAGAGGCCCATGGGCCACATCGCTCACCTGAGAAACTTTGACCATTCTGTTCTTTACCAGATTTCCCCCTTTTAATACATATTGTGACCTCACCCTACCCCACTGATCATGATTTAGACATTTTGAAATCTACAATACCCCAGGATGCTTCGATGTGCACATAAATTTAAGCTTTTCTGGCCCAGTGGTTCTTGAGAAGAAGATTTTCAAAGAATTTTCCTATATATTTCTATGTAAAACTTTGATTCCCCATTGTGGCCCCGCCTTACCCCCGGGGGTCATGATTTGAATAATTTAGAATCTACACTACCCCAGGATGCTTCCACATAAGTTTCAGCTTTTCTGGCCCAGTGGTTCTTGAGAAGAAGATTTTCAAAGAATTTTCCTGTATATTTCCACGTAAAACTTTGATTCCCCATTGTGGCCCCGTCTTACCCCCGGGGGTCATGATTTGAATAATTTAGAATCTACACTACCCTAGGATACTTCCACATAAGTTTCAGCTTTTCTTGCCCAGTGGTTCTTGAAAAGAAGATTTTCAAAGAATTTTCCTATATATTTCTATGTAAAACTTTGATTCCCCATTGTGGCCCCGCCTTACCCCCGGGGGTCATGATTTGAATAATTTAGAATCTACACTACCCCAGGATGCTTTCACATAAGTTTCAGCTTTTCTGGCCCAGTGGTTCTTGAGAAGAAGATTTTTTAATGACCCCATCCTATTTTTGTCTTTTCTTGATTATCTCCCCTTGTGAGGGGACTTGGCCCTTCATTTTAACAATTTTTATTCCCCTTCCCCCAAGGATGCTTTGTACCAAGGTTTGGTCAAAATTGGCTTAGTGGTTCTTGAGAAGAAGTCGAAAATGTGAAAAGTTTACAGACGGACAGACAGACAGACGGACGGACGACGGACAAAATGTGATCAGAAAAGCTCACTTGAGCCTTTGGCTCAGGTGAGCTAAAAACTTGACACAACTTGGGCAATACATTATCAAAATTTTTGTAATCAATCACACAAAAAACATGAAAGCAAAAATTTGTGGTACACATAAAAACATAATTTCCTAGTTACAGGTACTAACTTATAATTTTTTTTAAAATTAGTTTTAGCATATCTATCATGTTTATATAATGGACATTCAATAGGTGAGTGGATTCTTATCTTCCACACAGTTTATGTCACACATTCTACAAATTCTTTCATTTCTTCCAGGGTGGATTGCTGTCCTTCTGTGTTTACATTTTTACACATTTCTTCCACTTTCAATTCTGACATTAATATGGGAATTTAATCATAATTTGCATATAATTTTTGTATGTTCGAATTTTTTATAAAAAAAATTTCAAAACTTTTTATATAGAAATGTGTTGTAAGTTTAACCGACAGACAACACTTATCTCTGTTTTAAACCAATTGTGAAGGAAAAGCTAAGATTAAAGTTGGAATTACAAACATTAAAGTTGGAAAAGCCAATATTAAAGTTGGAAAAGCCAACTTTAAAGTTGGTACCGGGTTATTACCATTTAAATAAATATAATGTGGCACTAATACGCTTCCGTATAAAAATAAAGATTACTCTGTTTATTACGAGAAAAACATAAATTAGATATAATTTTTATAGTTAAAAGCCCATCCTGAGCATTCTTGCTATGATTAGATAAAATGCTTGCTCATTTTCGGTCCTCCTTCCAAGTAATCACACCTAAGTAAGATTTATTTCAATGATAAGTTATGCAATAATTAATCATTAGAAACTCGTGTCAAGCATCTAATGGTAAATTGTTTTTATCAGATTTGCAAACAATCTAGGTTACATCAAGCAGGCATGTATTGAATATTATTTTGTAACCTTCTCCGAGTTGATTTGTTTATTTATGCATAAAGTATGATTTTTAGTGTAAAGTTCAGAAATTTGTAGGACGTGTTGTTTAAAAAAATCGAATGTTTATACATTTAGCAGCTGATAAAGTGGTATAGCGAAATGTCTATGTTGGACATTAATATCAAATTAATGTTATTATATTAGTATATATAAATCCTCATAACCAACTTCAATAATCCTCAGTATTTCAAATACACTGTGATTGTCTTTTAACTTATTGATTAATCTTATGGTAAGGTAACCCATCCCCACACCCCAAGAAAGCAATTGTAAACCTCCCCTCAATAAAATTATTTACCTGTATTTTATTCATTAATTTTAGATTTACTACAGAAACTGCTTGTGCTTGAATGATATTTTACGACTTTGAAATGAGCAAGACTGAAGATCTTCTCAACAGCTTGTCCGAAGGATGTGAATGAAGAGAAAACATGAATGGACTAGGGCTTGAATATGGGGTTTGTTTAGGACTTGTATAGTGTAACGGTTTGTTCAATTAACTATTGTCATTTCTTTTAGAATTGTTTATGATTTTTTTTTTATTAATTTCAATGTATTAATCGTTGCGTAATAATCTTTAGTCTTTATTTGGGCCATAATTGTAGTGTTCTAAAACAATTTCATATTTTTAATTGTCAAATCTACAAGTTATCGAGATCTGAATTTTAATTTCTTAAGACAACCATATTAACCTAATGAAATAATTCTTTAAAAAGGCTATTCAGTAGCAGTGCTTATGAGTTGTCATTGTCAGCCCTGAAAAAAACTTGGGATGGTTTAAATCGCAGTTTATTTTTCTTTTTTTTCGGGGGGGGGGGTATTCACTAAACTAGATTTTTAATCTTTCTGCTTGAAAATATTCCGGTTATGAAATAAAAAATGTATCATTTCATTAATATTCTAGTCATACAGGATGTCTTTTTTAACTGAAGCATGTATAGATAACTTTATCTGTATAGTTTCATTTCCTGTATCCATAATATTGACATTAAGTATAATATATTCAACCACTCACGTAGAATCATACACTTGTGAATATTAAAACCAACTTTTTTTTATTAATGATAAAAGGAGAAAGGCAGAGTACGGCAGATTCCTTCTTTACTTACTTCATCTTTTCGAGATATTTTAAAGATAATTTGATCCGGAGAAAAACAACTAAATAGGTGTGTAAAGCTTGTTTGAGACAGTGTCACCCTGACTAGTCTCAAGTTGGGTTTTGAATTCAGTACGTTAAGAATAATTTTCTGTTGAATAAAGAAAGCTAATGCAACACTTATAGTAATACAAATAAATTCATCTTCATGACAATGTAACGGGAAAAAAATCAGGTTTACACCAATCCTTTTACGTAAACTTTTAAATCAGTTGTTTAAAGTTAGCTTTATTCACTACTATGATTGGCAAGGTTTCATTTCTGTGATTATTACTCTGAATAATTAAATTAATACAATTTTGAAAACAATCGAGTCCCAGAAAACAGCCCATAGTAAATATTGTACAACTAAAAAAGTTGTATTATCGTCATGCATGAATGTTCCTTATTAGATTTCCTGCAGAATAAAATAGGTGAAGATAAGGAACAAACAATACAAATCTCAGGGTATAAAGAACATCTGAATCCTAGAATGGTTAGGATCAGGTGCCTCGGAGGGGGAGTAAATACCTTTCTACTGAATCCGTCGTGAGTCCAATTCAATTATCAGGGTGACGGAACATTCAAATTTTGAATAAAGATGAAGATCTTACTATGGTAGACAAAATACGATCTTACGAAGGTAAGTTAAAATGTTTCTCTCGAGTACCGTGTAAGGTTGCAGACATTATTTTCATATACAGAAAAAAGAGGAATATTACTACACGTAGGGTTGACAGTGGTAAAGTGAAGTCATGAGCTTCGTATGACAAATAAGTCATTAGTTGGTCCATGTCTTTATTCAGCTAACTGTGAAAGATATATCTTTTATTTTAAGCTAAGAGGGATATGACATATGAATGTAAATAGCTGTTGTTAACTGAAACAACCTAATCAATGTATATGAATATCAACTTAAAGCCACAATAGTGTTTCCTTCGTACCGGAGCTCCTGAATAAATTCTCTTCATAGAAAATATTAACAGGTCGGATGATAAAATTAGTTTTCATCGGAATTCCATTATTTTTTAGACTTGATCTTCAAACGCTTCATATATAGGCCTAGTTGATGTCAGTGAGGAAGTCCAGCGACAGCTGCGCAATATTTGTGTGTAAATTCGGGGTGATTTTTAAGATTTAAAAAAATGCCCAATTTCGTTTTGTTTTTTTTTTTTATTCCGGAAGCAATTGTTTATGATATCAAAAATTATGTTTTTTAATTTATTGTGAGAATTTTTGAAAAAAAAATATATGAAATTTTTCTTAAAATTTCTTTGAAGTTTTTGAAAGCTTCACTTCTAAATTACACTCATTCTAAAATGGTGTGCTGTAGCTTAAAACGTTTTAAGATGGAGTCAATATTTTGTGCAGGATGTGGTATCTTATATTTGCTGGTTAGGATTTTTATGGAGATTAAAGATTCTATGTAAATTAAAGCATGATTCATTCAATGATTCATTAAATATATGTTAACCTGAATTTTGGCTAATCACAGCAGTATTCATTTTACTACTTAGTATGCAAACACTTAACAATGTTTTTTCTGCTGTAAGCATATCAAAATTTAAATATAGAACTAGAAACTGTCAATTCTACCACCATATTTTATATGTTTGTTAATTGACTACAATATGATCACATCTGTATGTCAGCTATCTATATTTGAAATAGTTAGGGACATGCTATTTGATCTGCCAAAGTTATCCTTAGGTATCGCTGAATACGAGGTTGATGATCTTTTTTTTTTACTTCATGGCATTCAGTAATTTGGCGAGGTTTGTCTGATTTTTTTTCAAGTTATAACACCTTGAATTTTGCAGTATCCATTATATAGTTAAAAATCAAGTGTTTAATGTTCTAATACATGTACCTTTGTTATTAAAGTATCCAACTTATACTCATTGTTCCCTTTCTAAACATTCTTCAAAATCATAGATCAGTTTGAAGTATTTTAAATATCCCAAAGAACCAAAATGAATTTGAACTGCCATATATGAACTACCATATATATATATATGTATTTATCAATGTTGCTAATAACACGTGTTCGTGTTTATTTATATTTGTAATCTATTGGCTGTAATGCTGGTCACCTTGTCAGGTGACATTTAAATATTCATTGCACGGGTTTTAACTGACCGCTGTTAGCACAGAATATTCTAAAGCCATTCGAAGGCTCTTTTTAGTGCATATAACACGTCTTTTTTCACTCTCTATTTCCACGTAATATGGGCGATTCGGGCGATGAACTGACTTTGGACACAGATAAATTACCGAAAGACAGCACAGGAGGGAACTCTTCATTGGAAATCTCGGACATTGTTAAACTCTTCACGGGAGTAATACAGTCTCAATTCAAAACTTTCTCGGGACAGTTAAAAGCGGAGCAGTCCGAGTCCATCTCGAAGAAACTCAAGGAGAATTCTCTTCATAAGATAAAGTCTGAAGGCAACCGAATTCAGTTTGAATTTAACGCCGAATTATTAGAGGGTTTAGAGAAGCTAGAGTCGAGAGCCTTTGATTTAAAAGATTCTGAATCATTGAAAATCATTTCTGACTTGTGTAAAAAATTGAAAACGCGTCAAAAGCATATACGCATAGCTGATTCATCTCCCGCGGGCTGGAAAACTGTCAACGAATACCAGTGTAATGAAATCGCAGACAACTCCGATGATGAAAAGAAGATACGCAGTGCCGAAAACAGGGCCCTCAGACATCAGAAGCAGAACAAGAGATTTCAGCCTTACGGGACACAGAAAACGCCACCAGCGGCAGCTGCGGGATCTCCGGCTCAGCTGGCCCTTTCTGGGGTTTCTAGTACTTTTCAGCCCTTTCCTGCCTTTCAACAGCAGCAACAACAGCCATTTCTCTATGGCCAAAGCAGAAACAAGCAGTCAAGGAGACAGCCTATGCCCTACGACGTTTGCTTCGGTTGTTTCGGAACAGGGCACTGGAAATCCAACTGCCCAAAGGGAAAGACCAATCAAAGTCAATGATAAGTATACAGGTTGTTTGACTTGTGTTCATGAAAAGAGTCATACGGAACATAGTATTAACCATAGTCTAAAAAGGCATTACAGTAAATGGGAAGAAATTGGGGCTTTTCCTTACATTTTGAAAGTAATACATTCTGGTTATGAAATTCCTTTCCTCTCCTTTCCGCCATCTATGAATTTTAGAAATAACAAATCTGCAGAGATTAACGCTGAATTTGTTACATCAGAAATATCCCAGTTAATCAAGACAGGTTGTGTTGTAGAAGTTACACACAGACCATATATTGTAAGCCCTCTTAGTGTCGCGGAAAACAGGTCAAAAAAGAGGTTGATACTAGATTTGATTAGACTGAATTATTATGTGAAATATGAGAAAATAAAGTTTGAAGATTGGAAAACAGCCCTGGATTATTTTGAGAAAGATTGCTATTGTATAAAATTCGATCTCAAATCTGGCTATCATCATATTGATATTTCTGAAAGTTTCCAGACATATCTTGGGTTCTCATGGAACGAAAAATATTATTGTTATACTGTTCTCCCGTTTGGCTTGTCATCTGCTCCATTTATTTTTACAAAAAGTCTTAGACCCATTGTTAAATTCTGGAGAAAGAAGGGTATTAAGATAGTTCTTTACCTAGATGACGGTTTTGTGTTTGCTCCATCTAAACAGGAATGTTTTTCAGTTTCTGAATTCATTCAAAAGAGTTTGTCTGACTTTGGGCTACTTATAAATTTTGAAAAATCTGTATTTTACCCAACTCAGAATTTAGAATGGTTAGGAATTTCTTGGGATTCACAGTCATTTTCTATTTCAGTGCCTACAAGACGTTTGGACGATACAGTGGCTTCTTTGCAGAAACTAGTGAAGAGTTTTCCTAAAGTGACGGCCAGAGAGTTAAATTGGCAAGAGTGATTGGAAAGATTATTTCAATGTCACCAGTGATGGGTAACATATGTAGCATAATGACAAGATTCTGTTCTATAGAGATAGCATGTAGAAAGTCATGGGACGATGTTATTGTATTCACACACAAGAACGAGGTTCTAAATGAATGTAATTTTTGGTTGCAATGTATTTACTCAGAAAAAACAAGATATTTACACACACCGACAAAGAAAAGTGTGATTATTTACTCTGATGCGAGTAATCTAGCTTCAGGAGCGTACACTGTCGAAGTTGATTCAAAAAATTTTCACTTAATGTGGAAAGAGTTTGAGAAGGGTATGAGCTCTACTTGGAGAGAGCTTCGAGCGATTGAATTAGCTTTGGCTTCATTTAAAGATAGTTTAGTGAATAAAGTGGTTCACTGATAATCAGAGTTGTGTAAAAATTGTTCAGTCTGGTAGTATGAAACATCATTTACAATCTCTTGCTTACAATATTTTCAAGATGTGTGTAGAACAGAAAATTTCAACTGACATACAATGGATTCCAAGATTACAAAATGATAAAGCTGATTTTCTTAGCAATATTATAGATCACGATGACTGGGGCATTACTGCAACATTTTTTGAATTTGTTAACAACTTGTTCGGAACTTTTACTGTTGACAGATTTACAAATTATAACAATTGTAAGTTGAGACGGTATAATTCAAAATTTTGGAATCCTGGCTCAGAAGCTATTGACTGTTCTACCCAAAACTGGGAACACGAAAACAATTGGTTAGTGCCACCTATTCACTTAGTAGTTCGGGCTATTAAACATCTAATAGCATGCAAGGCTTTCGGGGTCTTAATTGTTCCAAACTGGCCCTCCGCTGTTTTTTGGCCATTTATTTTTGATAAAGATATGACGTATAGATGGTACGTTAAAGATGCTTTACTATTCAATGATTGTACAGACATACTTATTCAGGGTGATAACAAAGCGTGTTTGTTTGGATCAAAAAATTTTACTTCTGGGATAATGGCAGTAAAGTTGGATGCAAGATCCTAATATAGAACGCTATATAGAGTTTGTTTATATACTCATGTTGAGTTCAGAATGTAAATATAGATACGTTTTGAGGTGTATTGCAGATGAGATGGGTCCTGGTACACCAGATGTTTATATTGGTCAGATGTATTGCAGATGATTTATGGTCCTGATACATCTGTTAAGTCGGTGTATTGCAGTTGATTGAGGGTCCTGATACACCATAAGAAAAATGTGTATTAATAACGTCAATTTAATCTTTGTATTCCGTTTTATACAATTTTCAGATATATTTAAAATGGGACGGTGGTTTGATAGTGCGAGGATTGAGGATCAGCGATTACAACAACTTAGGGACTTTTTACCATCCTACTGCCTAAAATCCAGAGCATCGAACACATCAAGTCAATACAGGTACGCATTCAACGCGTTCTGCAGATGGTGTGGCGCTTTTCTGCCTGCTATTTCTGCATTACCCGCAGCGGATGAACACGTGGCTCTCTATATAATTTCTATCGCTAAAGATTACAAATCATCAAGTAAAATTCAATTAGCTACACACTCTATTAGTTGGGCACATCAGCTAGCAGGGCTAAAAGATCCATGTGAATCCGTTTTAGTGAAATTAACAAAGGAGGGTGCAATAAGAGAGACTTCCAAGCCAGTTGTAAAAAAGGAACCGATTACACCAGATCATTTGAAGTTATTGGTTCAGAGATACAAATCAAACAATTTATATAATATGCGTACTTTATGTTTGTGTTTGTTGGGTTTTGCAGGGTTCCTCAGATTCTCGGAGCTCGCTAATATTAGACTTAATGATATATCATTTGATGATGTGTGTATGAAAATAAATACTGTGAAAAGTAAAACGGATGTTTACAAAGAAGGGCAGGAGGTGTGTATTGCTAGAACTCATGGTGACACTTGTCCTGTACATATGTTAGAAGAATATATAAAATTGTTGGGTGCTGAAGTTGATTCATCAGAATATTTATTCAGATCTTTGTCATTTTGTAAAAATACAAGTGAATATAAAGTTAGAAGAGATAATCGCCCTTTGTCTTATACTAGGGCACGAGAAATTGTCTTAGATGCATTGAAAAAATAGGTTTAGATAAGAGCAAGTTTGGTCTTCATAGCCTACGGTCAGGCGGGGCAACTTCCGCTGCAGCGGCTGGTATAAGTGACAGGTTGTTTAATCAAAGTACTGTGAGTACTGAAAGACGGTGGCATGAATGAGTTTGTTTGTTTAACACCCCTTTCGAGAATAAAATTTTTAGCAGCGAAGGATATTTTTCTGGCTAGCAGTTACTGCGACACGGGATCTCAATCTGAATTAAGGGCTGATATCCATGTCACGCAGTGGGAGTCGAATCCGCGACGCCGGTAAGGATGGACTTCTTCAAGGTCCGTGAGTCCAAAGCAAACCCGCTACGTCAAATGATGACTGGCAGTATATAAGAAAAATTGTTCTGAGATTTTGTAAAATGATATGGAAATTATAAAAGTTTATTTCAATTTTTCCCAATATATCTACCTGTATTTAAATATATAAATTTATATTTTTTGTACTAAAAAGTATAAAGTGTTATGAATTGTCACTGTTTTCTAAAATTGTTACTATCCTATTACAATTTTCATTAAAAAAAACATAGCAAACTTCAAATTGGTATATGCATAAATAAACAATTGCAAATTATCAGATTTCATTTAATGTGTTTTGTCGCCTTACGACACACGGATGATAATGATGTCAAAATGTCTAAAGCAGCGTCAAGTTTCCTCTTTGCTAAAAATAAGTTGGATAATTCCAATTAAAATTAAGGAATTTCATTGATGCACATAGTTGAGTTTCCCTTAATTCTTCAAATAACAGCCAGAAACCAACCTCGCGCACAAATAGGACCTTGTGAAGAATTATTAGTACTAAAGTTATGGACAATATTTTTAATATCATTCAATAAAAAAATCTTATATATATTGGCTGTCAACATTGACAGCGCCTTCCGCTATTCCTGTAGCTGTTTGTTCTACCCTTCGATTTGATTAAAACAATTTCGCTTAGAAAACTCCCATTTCTCTAGTACACTAAAGAGAAAAAAACTGAACTGCTTTCCAGTGCGTAGTATCGTCATCGAACGCCGCCGTTTTTCGTGTGTTGGATTTACCACTTTCCCATTTCGGATGTTTGATAAATTGATAAAATAATTAAGCAAATGTCCTTAAATTTTCCAAAAGACGACACAATAGATAGTGAATAAAAAATAGGATATTGTTTTCCAAATTACTATTAAATACTTTTATTTCGAAACAATACTCATGTATTATTTTTAAAACCGTTTTTTTTTTTCGTGCGTAATTACATTGGAGCATGTTAATGGAGTATCAATTTTTTGTCTATATTTTATCAAAAGAATTCAGATACACTAGAATATGATAAATAAATACTTGCGAAAAATTTCATCTTGCAGCGCCTACTATTTTTCGGAAAAAACGCTTTGTACACGACAACCCTCGTATACTGCTGGAAAAAAAAAAGATAGAAAAAAAAAGAATACTAGTAACAAAATATTTTTCTGTCTCTATTTTCCGTCGTCTCAAGTCACGATCGGAGTCTGTATATATGCGCATGAAGCTTTCTCCAGAATGGGAGAGGATCGTACATTTTGGCTATGGTTTGCGATGATGGTATTTCTCATACGTAATATTCTAATAATTATGCAATAACCCTGCAAATCATTGCGCAATACATATTTACTGCTTTGTGAACACACCAGAAGACTGACCTAAATTTAGCCCACTAAAATCGCATAAAATCCTAATATTAGTATTATTACATGCACGTGTATTTGAGTACCTTTTTTGTACACCCTTTAAAGGGTAAATTTACTAGAGGCACGTAACTTAAAGTTTCTAAATAGGATTGAAATATATGGGTAAATTGTCCGTTACAGTCTTTGTAATTATAGCTTTGACAAATTTTTATCCGTTGAGTCGTTTTTGTGTCCGAGATAATAAGACAAAGTCTTATTTTTAAAAACTAAAATGGTAATAAACTTAGCAAATTTTATGACATCATATACCTCCAACAACCATTTTATTAACTGATTAAGATGTAGTGATCTTTTTTCTTCTTTTCTAAAATACATATATTCGTTTTACTAATATAGCATTATAAACAGATATAAGAAATTCAAACAAAAAGACAATGTTTGTTAAATTTCAGTAAACTATTTTTAAGTTTTATTGTAAAAAAAAAAATTCACAAAGCAGTATTCAAGAAACAGCCGTGTGCTGTTCAGCAGTATTTGATAACAATCATACAATGAAATCTTCAAATATTTTTCAACAATTAATTGATAATTTTAAAGAAACACAATGTGCGTACGAAACGGATTTTTCGAACATTTGAGAAAAAACGAAAAAAAAAAAGTACGAATTGACATCTGTAGTTTGCATGCGAATATACGAGTCGGTTGGTGTACGAGTTAGTTTAGTTCGGCGTAACTCAATGAATATTCATGAGGCGAGAAATATTGATAACGGCAAATATCAGGAATTAGGCTTTCTAGCCGTCAACGAAATGTCTTTGAATAACTTGAAAGTATTTGTTAACTGTGTACATTTTATTTTCAAACATCGAAATAAGTCTACTTTCATTATTTTGACTCTGTAAAAATCGCCGCTAGGGTCCCCGTGTGTTTACACAGACCAGCAGCAATAGCCTGTGGCTATATATAGCCACCGTCTAAAAAGCATGGGCGGTGGAGGTCAGAAAAAGCTAAAGATGGCTATGTGAAAGAAAACATTCAGGATGAATTATCTGTAACCAAAAACTTAGGTATATGAAATTCACATGATTATACAAGTCATTCTCTTTCGACTCTTCTTTGTCTTTCGAAATAAGTAAACTGCACTATCAGAGCGCTTCACATCCTAATATACGTGTTTGTGTTTATTTT